AAGGAAATGACCTCGCCGAGACTCGAACCTCTCGTACTATGGACATTTCTGCTGTCCAAATATCGTGAAAAACCGCAAAGCATATAAGGTATGAAATAATGATTATTACATGTGTTCTGATATGTTACGTAAATAATTTGTAGCGTTATTGTTTAAATTAACCATTTATTATGCTTTCGGTCTTTATTATGACATCTCCTTTTCATATTCCTCACTAGAATACAAATGAGGTATCCAGTATTTATACTGAGGTTTTTTAATTTTAAGACAGAGTGTGGTTCTAGCTTCGCTTACACACTACACCTTAATTATTGCTAGCACTGATAGTTGCAATTATAACGATTTCGTTCTATAGCTGCCGACACTTTGGCTTTTGACATTCCGGTAGGGTTACTGATATAGCTTATAGTAATATTTGATTGTGTAGGCTTTGAATATTGTCCTAAGTTTGATTTAAATTCGACTGTGGTGTTTTATTGCATACACACAAGCTGTAGCTATATTCTTGCACTAGAGAGTATGTTTTTATTATAAATTCTGTTAAAAAAAATATTTAAACCTTCTAACGACTTTGTAGTTTCTTCAGACCTAGAGATTGCTTGCTTTACGTCTGTTAGGCCTTTAGATTAATTAACATTACCAAACCCTACAAGTTTAGGTGATACTAAAGTAAAACCCTACAAGTTTAAGTGATGTTTAGGCATGAATTTTCCCTCAAACAATATTATATTAGATTAACAAGTAAAATATATCAATTTTGAAAAGTTTCACTAAATTCTTAAAATCCATTTCAAAATCTCTTTCGAAAGTTAAAGGCTCTTAGCTAGAAAAGAAAAAATCTTTCTACGTTATGACATGTTGATTAAATTCAGTTCTACTGAGAAGGTTAAAAATCGTTACACTGAATTCTATCCGTTATACTTTCACAATCCATTCTAAACTGTTAGGAGAAATGAGTTTTATGTGGAAAAAACAAGTTTTGCATGTAAATAAATTTTATTATATTAGCATGCCATATTTTATTACCGAAGCATCTTTTTCACGTACATCAAAATATTAGCCATATATATTTAATTAAGAGGATAGAATCCAGATTGTAGCCTTATGTTATTTTACTTAAAACTATAAATTGTTTTCATTCTATTCGTTTTGCCTCATAAGCTTACTAGAGAAAGACGTTAATAAGAGACTAAATGTAAGAAGACAAAGGATTAATGCTTCGGCTGCTGGCATTAATTATCTGTGAAAGTGCAACCTCTTTCAATATCCAAGGGAGGAAATACGGTTATCACAATTGTAGTCAGTTTATTTTTGTTAGAGATAAGCCCTTCTCCAGGATTTTGAGTTACATGTGTTATGATTCAGCTATAAAAACATTCAATTTGTTATTAGGAATTTCTATCGATTATTGTCATTGAGAAATGTTAACGTTTATTATTATTATTATGGACTGATATCAGTTATTCTGCAGTCAGATTATCACTATTTTGCTGTGGGTTTTTTAATAACCAAGTAAGTTCTACTGCAGGGGATATTAAGTTTTCTAAGCTGTGATACATAAGCAACAATACAGTTAATTTTTTATCTGATATTTTTATTATAAACCTCATCGAAATCTATAGACATATATTTATGCTCTGAATAAAAACTTTTCTACGTAAAAACTAATTACGTTTTAAATTTATTACATTTTTTTAAAATTATCTAATATCTGTTTTATCGGTTTTCATTATCAAACATGGAATACATTAATACTGCATTTTACACACTTTCAAAGAAACATTAATTATGGAATACTAATTTAATTAAAATAGACTTATGTAACAAAGCATGTTCAATCACTAAATCTGGAAGAGTAATTTATTGAAATATCACCATGGACGGTATAGTCACAGTAGATGCTGCTAGAGTTAGTTAGTTCTAAGCACTGGGCCCCAGCCACAAGCAAACTTTCCAAACGTATTCTTACTACGTAGCTTCCTCTTAGTGATCTTTTTACAGGTCCTTAGGTCAGTAACGGCTTCCCTCTATCTCCTCAACATTCAATTACTGGAAGATGACGTTTATTTTGGAAAGGGAAATTATGTATTAAAAGAAAGATTTTTGAAGCTTTGCGGATGATAATCAAATGTACTCTAATAAGCTGGTAATGAAAAAGTTTGGAGGAAATTTAAAATAGATGGAACAGAAATAGAGAAAGACTACATACGTTTTCCAAGAAACGTGTAATGAAAATATATTATATTTATGAGCCATTACCGATAAATGTATTATACAATTATATTATAGTTATTTGAAGACAATATAAATGATAGTCAACGCTATCTGTTGAAGAAAAAAGAAAAGGAAAAATTAGAAAATAAAATTGCGAAGTAACCTAACCCTTCCGAAAACGATGGGATAGTGGAAATAAAATTAAGAAGTACATTAATTAAATTAAAAGTTATTAACAGTCTGAAAACTTCTAGATAACTTTGCCCGAACAAAAATTAAACACATGGTTGAGAACCTGACGGATAATTTACTAGTGTTTCGTATAAACCAAATGAAATAGAAGATGATTTCTGATCATTTCCTGTATTTATTTAAAAGCAGCATTTAGTGGAGCTTTATATATATATATGTATAAATATCTCAAATTTGAAGACACTGAGCTGTTATTCCAGCTGTAGAAGTGGCAAAATTGTCACTGTATACGGTAGGTTAGATAAAGTGTGACAATGCATACATACAAATAGGGTGGTACAAGGTAAAATAACCCCTTAAACTACGAATAATTGTTTTAAAAATCAAAGCAGGTTTTACCATTTTTTTATTGCATGGGCCCCGTCATGCTGGAACCGAGGATGATGGTATAGAATGCGTAGGAGGATAATATAAAATAATGAGCCAACATGATGGGGTAGGATGAGTAGGAATTTACTGGAATCCTGAAAGATGTCATAGCAGGAGTGTTCTTTCCCTATCCCTTTCGAGACTCGCATTGATTTAATATTATTGTCAATATATGTAATGTCCTATTTGGAATGGAAGAAAATTCGGAATACTTTCACGAAACTTAACGGGAAAAATATCATCATATATGCAGTTTATCTAATATCAGTTAGATTGGCCACATTTCCCCTCAAAAATAGTGAATTTTAACTTTTGCTTGAAATTGTTCCAGATTAATTGTTTTCTTAGGTTTACAAACTGAAACCTAGTGATTTGTGCAAGACAAATTCATGCTATATACGCACAAAATTTTCCTTTCGCAATATTCAGTGACTTTCATTTTTACTCGTATTCTATAAAATAACTAGAAGGATGATGTGATGAACAATAACTTCAGGATGCGCTTTCGTATCCAATATATTTGTTACACAAGAAAAATATTTCAGAAGTATTGTCTTTCATTCTGTGATATCAAAGTTTTCGACTAGTCAGAGATTAAGTTAACCCCTTTCTTCTTTTAATGACAGTTATTAGAAATACCTCCGACAGTAATCCACTTATTCTGCACTGCTATATGTTGGGGACTCTATATATATTATCTCTGAGTTGAATGAATGAACTGAGTTTTGCTACTGATTTTAGATGTTGGGGTGAGCTTTCGATAGGCATGAGAGATAAATAGTAACAATTTTAACTAACACATTATTACTTTTTTTCTGTTTCTTTCTGCTGTTTTTTACACGTTACAACATCCAGGTATCTAAAATATCCCATTTAATTCTATTACCTTAACTGAATTAGCTTATTTTTAGAATGTAATTCTTAGGCATAAAAGCTCTTGCCTTAACACAGCCCTAAAATTTAATACAAGCAACCTTTGAACAATACCCGCAATTGCAACACTATTCAGTTTTCTTCTTACCGTCAGTTTGGCGTGTTCTTGGAATGCAGAGAATGTATACATGGATCATTTGTTTGTTTGAGTATATCTTAAATAATTTCTAACTCATTTTAGTTTAAAAATTAACTTCATTAGTCGGATATGAAGTTGAACATCAATTGAAAATTTGTATGTTATAACTTTTATTATAATGCAAACAAAATGGGAAAAGAAGAACGTAGAGCATATCACACCGCATTTGATAAAGGGCATGCCATTGCAGTAATTCGATGGAACGACGATTCCGTCATAAAAAACAATTCCGCACTTAAAAAAAGGAAAAAATATCTGTATCCGTAAAGCAACTTAAACTCATCGGGAATTAATATAAATATATGGATGGTGTGGACTTTCTGGACATTTTTATTGCACAGTCTACAGAGTGCAAACAAAAGGTGAGAAATGGTGGAGCCTATTTCTGCGAATGTTACTAATGTAGCTGAATCAAATGCACAGAAACTTTATAAAATTGCTCTAATCCCCAAAATTTCCCTGTTAGATTTTCAAAGTTTTGCTGTGGGCCTACTGAAAACAAGGAAAGAATATTCTGAAATTCCGATCTTCGTATACTGATAGTGTTGTCCGACCATCTTCGGCCGTCTCAGAAACAAGAAAGGATCCCACAAATCACTTGATCGAGAAAAATTCAATAAACGGAAGTAAAAGATGCAAATATTTCGGTAGTCATACAACAAATATTTTTAATAAATGGTGCGTGCCTTTCTATAGCGTTTCAAAGGTTTCGCTGTATTCCAAAGGTAATTGATTTTGACTGGCATTGCATTTTCGCAGCATTTTGTATCTTCAATAAAAGTAATAATTATTAGCTGCCTATTACATTTTTTTCTTAATTAGGCTCTAATAACTCAAAAAATGAATTTTGTTCCTATAGATGAAAGGCAGCGTGGACGTTATTGTGTTAACAAAATTGTTAATATTAATCCAAAAATGTCAGTACTGGTTCGAAAACACATCTAGGAGAAAGTTGAAACAAGAGAAGATTTATTCTAAATTTACTATATTCCTTCTAAATAATTTAAAGAGCTGCACTTTATCCTAGCTACTATAAGCAAGGAAGCATTCATGCTGTGCATGATACTCCCCCGTTTTGCTTATTCAGACTTACTTTCATGACGAAACTCGTACATGCCGTAGAACCCTTTATGATGAACAATGTGGTTGGAACGGAAAATAATCTCTGCTTTCGGATGCATTGAAAGTAGTGGAGTATCTACTCTGGAGCCGCAATACCTCCCAACCAACTCCTTCACGTCCGAAGCTGTAATGGTAGAAATATCCACATAGTCAGTCAGGCATCTGCAGAAGATCAAGAAAGAGGTTATTTTCATGTGTCATTTAATAAAACATAATTTTACATATTTTATGTGAATTTTAAATACCGTAAATCCTCTCTTATTCTCCCCTAGCATTTTTACTCTAGGCTCTAAAATATTAAAAATATTCACATAATTTTTACGTTCCTCTGTTGCATATAGTTTTTCGCTATTGGAATATTTTATTCCATTGAACAATTTTATTTTTATAAAGGGTATTCAATTTTTATATGCATTTTTGTAGTAAAATCTCATACATTTTATTTTCTCTTGTATTAGTTATTTAAAACGTATTTTGTGCAAATTCTTCACTAAGCTAACCGGATATGGGAAGTGTTCTCACACTTATGAAATTTTCAAACGGGATTTCACCTTACTCCCACTATTTGCGTTCCTGCTCATTATAACATTATCTAATTTAAATGTATTCGATCTTTCGAATCCCGAGTCTTTTGTTTGCTCCCTTCTCTTTCTTTTCTCCGATGTCCCTCTTGAGAAATGCGGTAAAGACTCATTCATGTAAGGTGCTTCTGGGGCTTGACAAGTTAATTGAGCCGTACATGGCTTGCAGGCTCAGTTATCTCGGATATCGTCTCATTATCATCAGATATTTGAATGTTAGTATTACTATATATTCTTATTAAAAATAGAGTGTCTTAAGCAAATAATATTGTGATACTTACCAGTAGTTTATCTGTGACTACTTTTTCACTTTTTAAGTTGTTATTGTAACGGCTTTCTTCGAAAATTAGATCACTTGCATGACTCTGTAGATTTTTCGGACGATAAACTTAGCTAAAAAAGGGGGGATACGCAAGAAAATAGGGTATTTAATGCTCCAGAAATAAATGCTACACGCACATGTACTCGTATTACAAATGCCGCTCGTTGCAGCTGCATATTATCCGACATTTAGAGCGAGAAAGAACAATACGTCAAGTAACTTTGAGTGTAAAGAATAACCCTGATTGATGTAGATTTTATTTTAGAAGAACTTTCAGCGATTCAACATTAACTGCGGTATTTTTCATCTGCAACTAAATGAATGATACTTAAACGAAATAGAGAGACTGACGGATTTTCCAAAATTTACTATTAGTAACAATCTAGAACTATTAGTTAACGCGACGGAATCTACGGATAGAAAATTTAGTCAAATTCTCTTTTCATATCTAGATGGCACCACGTACTTGGTTTCGTTTCACCATTCATTGTAGAAAATGCTATAATTAGCTATCGATAAGTTCTGGAATATTCGACAATCACTTTTTCAGTTCGTGGTACTTGACTTTTATTTAGTTACGGCTGAAAAAGACAACACACGGCAATCAATCGCTGAAAGCGCTCTTGCAAAAATAAAATCGACATCAATCAATGATGTTTTTCTTTTCCTCTACATTTAGACAATGTCTTTGGTTATGCACTTATATGATGTAACATAAAAAGAGGCAATTTAATCCGAATCATTTATACTATATAATGAAATTACTTTTTTTTTTCTGTAGCTAACTTCCTTTCACTGTTTCTTTGAGTTGGTATATATTAAGGAAGCATAACTGAATAAAGAAAAACAAATATATTAAATTCGGGCGCCACAGTAGATGTTTTTTATAATATTTTACTTATTTTGTAGAGACATTATGTTATTTTGGAAACAGGAAGAAGTAACAAATGAGCAACGCCTTTGCCGGGAATCGAACGTCAGACTCTGGAATACGCGCCCAGCGTGCAGACAACTACACCACGAATCCCCGCTATGAAGGTGGGAGAAATACCTTATATACTCTTTTAAAGGGCGACCGGGGCTTCTTAGGGGACCCAATCGCCAAATCCTGGGTGCGGAGAGTCATCATCCACAACCCTTTTAGTTCGGGCGCCACAGTAGAGACATTAGGTTACATTTGAAACGGGAAGAAGTGAAATGAGCAACGCTTTCGCCGGGAATCAAACCACCAGCCTCCGGAATATGCGCCCAGCTTGCAGACCATTACACCACGAAAGCCTGCTAAGAAGGCGGGATACTTTTAATTTATTTATTTTTGATTTATTTTTAATACTTTATAATTTATTTATTTTTGAGTTGGAAATAATGATAGACTTTTCAAAGACAGATCCTATTTAAAAACAGCAAGACAAATTAAGGAAATGCTTAAAAAATACATCCGTATCTCAATCTGACAGAGAAATAGAAACGGATTTTATACAATTTTAGTAACAGAAAAAAAAGAAAGCAACTTTCATTAGATACCTTAATGGAAATATTTATGCTTCTTTAAGCATCCCATCTTAATATATGCAAGCAGTGAAATGGAAGCCTAGACCATTAAATACGCTAACTTTATTTGCATAATCGCTAATGCCTGTGTTTTTATGTCACTTCCCTCAAACGTAACTAGCGTTTCCAATATTGCGAAAGTAAAAGGCATTTCTAAAAAAATTTAGAAAAAAATATTAGAACTTTAAATTTTATTTTAGGTCGTACTTATGCTTGTAACTTCATTCTTTATACTTAAAACTCGTAAAAAATATAATACTGAATAAAAACTCTTTTTATGGAAATGCTTGGAAAGATCTGAATTAATTAAGAAAAACTCCGCATGAATTAAAAAAATCGAATATGTCTATGTGTAGTTGCACTGTATATTATGTTTGCTTTTGCTTTCACAACACAAATACTCCTACTATCTTAAATCATAAAACGGAACTTCACTAGGTTCTACTTATTGTTATTAGGTATTTTGATAGCATTAACCGAATGATAACAGTAAAGTATGAGAAAAAATTACCCTTCAAAACAGTAATGGAATGTAACTAGTTTAATATTAATATACATAGAAACATATGAATAGGCTTTCTGACAACACTTTAATTATAAAAGTGTAAAAGTTCGCTTATTAATTTTGCATTAATTCCTGGAAAGTATTGGACTGATACTATACCACTAATCTTAATGTTATTAAGAAGGCATTCCTCATTGGAAGAGAACTTGTAGAGACATTAGGCATTTTTGGAAGCAGGAAAGATGAAAAATTAGCAACGCCTTCGCCGGGAATCGAATCGCGGACCTCACAATTACGCACTGAGTGAGCAGACCCCTACACCACGAAGGCTCGTTAAGAAAGCCTGAGAAATATCTTATATGCTCCCCTTTTAACGGGCGACTGGAATTTTTAGGGGACCGAAACGCCAAATCCTTGCTGAGGAAAATCATCATCCTCCACCCTTTTAGTTCGGGCGCCATTTACTCAGACCACTACACCACGAAGGCCCGCTAAGAAGGCGGGATACTTTTAATTGATTTATTTTGATTTATTTTTAATACTTTATAATTTATTTATTTTTGAGTTGGAAATAATGATAGACTTTTCAAAGACAGAGTACTCCTAACAGGAGTAAATCAGCAGTGGCCTTACTCAATTTTAAGCATTCAAATGAAACACTAAAACACACAGAGTAATGTAAAATGTATCGTTACAGATTTTAAGAACTTAAATTGTAAGTATTTTAGTAAATCGCACATTGTTTGGTACTATTAATATTTACAGAATCTAACAATTGTAAGGAAATTTTTCATCCTCACTGTGTGTCTTCGTGGTATAATTGCATGGACGTCCGGCTAGCGCTATGAGATCCGGGGTAAGGCTTTTTTAGGTTTTCTGCTTGCAAGAAATTATAAACAGTCTACAAGCGGCGGCCGAACTAATAGGTGGTGATAAGAAGGTAAAAAAGATAATTTGTCACCACCTTTTAGTTGCGCCCCCACATATAGACCAGAAGGGAAGACTGTAGACTTGTAAACTGTAATAAAGAAGTTAAGGACTTTTTATTTCCTAACCGTGTGTTTTCGTCATGTGATGGGTAACACTTGCAACTGGTAGTCGGATGGTCCGGAGTCTAAAATCCGGGATGATATTAACTTTTTGTGTTTCTTACTTCGATATACTACCTATAGCCCGTAGAAAAATCATACTGCAGTGTTAACAAAACTATTTCCTTAAAATGATCCTTATTTTAAAATAGGAGATCTCTGAATAACGGATGAAGAATATTCACAATATACGCATTTGCCGATATACAGCCCTAGAGGTCGATGAGTAGTTTTGAGTGATCAAAAACTCCCAAGATCTGACTGAAACCTCCCAAGTTTGAATGTTATCAACATTGTATCATTGATGCACTTTATAAAATGTATTCCATAATTCATCTTACTGTCTTGCGTCAATAGCGAGAGAAGTTCAATCTAAAATTTTAGATCCTGAGAAATAAGTTGCAGTAGTAAAAATGAAAGCAATAAATCAGTTGCACACATGCCCGAAGACAGATAAGGTAGAAAATAGATCATTCTCCGCCATTTATACTTATTTAGGACAGACAATAAGCACGAGAAAGTGAGTTTATTTGCGTAGTTGATTATGTCAAAGTATACGATTGATATAGACGGTTGAAGATAATTAATCTAAAACTAAATATGTGTGCTTTAATTCAGAGTTTATCAAAAACTTCGTTATTGTTAACTTTGTCAAGGAAGGGCAAACAGATGTATTTTACGTAACACGTCATTTCATATGTTTAATCTTTTCTGTGCTTTCCGTACGAATAACTGAGGGAAAATGTAAGGTTTAATTTAATTAGCAAGTTATTTTCCCATACTTAATCTTTCCTGGATTTCTGCTTTTCGCCTAGTACACAAAAAATGCAAAAGAAGTGGTTTTAAATGCTGTAGGAAGAAGCATTTTGCGACTTAGAGCCGGAGCACTCAATGCTGGTTCAAACTGCGGAAGCACTGTACTCATTGTTAGTGTGTTAGCTTTCATTTATTGCACATGAAAACGCACTTTAACATCGAAGACATATGCTTGACATATGCATATGAAGACAGATGCTTTAATAAGTGACTTGCATTTGACTGATTAACTACTGTTGCATTCTTACCCCGCAATCAGAGAGGATTCAGTTGATTACTTATTTCCTTAATCGTGAAGT